GGGTCACTATCGACTCAGAAGGTAATGATGAACTCTTTTATCCAAGCTAGGTAACATGAATACGCCTCTCGTTGACCCGGAAGTATCTTCGCTGCTTGGTGTATGTACTTTCCCACGGGGTTTTTATCAAGTTTTAGCGCCCGTCACTACAGTCGTCTCTGGGTCAACGACGAAACCAGTCCGATGGCGAATAGGCCAATCGAAGCCAACAAAAACCAACAGAAGCGCTACGACCCTTTGCTTTGACTGACTATCAGCCCAAAAAGTAGTTATTCGTCATCGAGCTGGTTTCGTCGTTGACTCAGAGACGACTGTAGTCGGATTTGTGCTTTTAGTGAGCCGCGCGCATCATGGCAGGTAACGCCGCTGTATTTGTGCGCTCCGGTTATGTTCTTGCCCGCATTTTACTGGCGTCCTGCGAGCATGGGTAGGAGTCTGCCTTATATGTTGGCGCCCCGAAGGGATGACCGTTTCTTTGTTTTCTACATCTCATCCCTATATTTGACGTGCAGTTTTTTTCAACTGGCTCTTTTTCCCGTCGAGGGGACACTTGATAGGTGTGTTCTGTTACTTAGGATGGGCTGAGCAGAAGGAACTTCTGTGGCTTGGGGTTCCGAGATGTATCATTTCTTAGAGTAAGGGACTGGTTTGAATATATAAGTGTGCTTCTGGTATTCGGGGGTGTCTGATCCACCATCAACAGATGCGAAAAATCCTTCAGCGAGTAATGGTATATGTGGAAACCGTATTCGAGTACTTATAATTGATTGATCGGGCTGTCTTCGAGTTGTAAAGCGGATGATGGGCCCAGAGCCAAAAAACTATAACAATGCGAAAGTGCGAAAGTGCGGGGGGGATAGGAGATCAAATTACAGTATCTAATAAGTATATAGATATACCGATATGCAATGTGTTATTTAAAGGTTTTGATTGGCCATGTATTAGATTGCTTTTTCTTGATAGTTTGATTAGTAATATTTTGATAATAGTATTTTTTCTTGATATAAGCAACAAATCGTGAACTTTACTTTTTCTTTCTATTAAATTTGGAGAAATTGCTTTTTCCCTCTATTGCTGTTAGTGGCGAATCGGGGTTCTTACTTTTTCTTTCTATTGAATTCGGGAAGGGACATTGCTTCTTCCCTCTATTGCTGTTAGTACTGAATCGGGGTTAGCGACATTGCTTCTTCCCTCTATTGTTGTTAGTGGCGATTCGGAGGCAGCGACATTGCTTCTTCCCTCTATTGCTGTTAGTACCGAATCGGGGTCAGCGACATTGCTTCTTTCCTCTATTACTGTTAGTGGCGAATCGGAGATTTTACTTTTTCTTTCTATTGAATTCGGGAAGGGATATTGCTTTTTTTCTCTTTTGATGTTAGGGGTGATTTGGAGGCAGGTATATTGCTTCTTCCCTCTATTGTTGTTAGTGGCAATTCGGGGGCAGCGACATTGCTTCTTCCTTCTATTGCTGTTAGTGCTGAATCGGGGATTTTACTTTTTCTGTCTATTGAATTCAGGAAGGGATATTTCTTTTTCCCTCTTTTAATTTTAGTGGCGATTCGGGGGCAGGTATATTGCTTTTTCCATCTAATGATGTCAGTGGCGATTCGGGAATCCTACACTGTCATTTTCTTATTGTTAGTGTTAGTAAGAGTTTTGATTGTTAGAGTTTTGGTTTAAAGTTACTCTTGATCGCACATTATTTTTTAGTTAAACAATCAATATCAAAACTCTCTACCTACAATATCTTTTGATACGATGCCTCAAATATTCAACGAGAATGCCTCTACTGATATTCACTGCATGCTGGAATTCACCAACAAGACAGACAAAACTGGCTATTTCAAAATCTACGATTCTACTTTATTTTGCTGGAGCGATGATCTACCAAATTCATTAATCGACGAAGAAGATATACCATGCCGAATCATTTGTTTTGTCAGTGATTCTCTCACAGAATCCACTGAAAACTCTGTTGGAATATGTTCAGGGAGATTCTGCGGTATGGGTAGAGACAAACCAGTTGTCATTACTTTGATGAGTAAGAGCGAGTAAGTAATTTGATTTACTGTATAATATATTAGAACTAATAATTTCACATTTAGATTTGCTGGTGACCCAACACATCCACGATTTGATGATATAGCTCCTGCACCCTCCTCTGCCACTATATACTCAGTCGGGAAGGTTGTAGGACAACCTAAGGGTACTATCAAGTCTCTCCCTATAGGCTGGAGATCCTTTGATTTACGATCCTCCTACTACGATTTAGAGGCTGCTTCCAAATCAGATTCCCGAAAGTATTTTGTTATTAGGTGGTATATACCAGCAGGAAAGAGGTGGGAGAGCACAAAATTACCCCAAATCGATAGTGTCATCCAAATCACTGGGAAATTGGTTGGTAGAGTTGTCGTTGATAATGCATCATCAAATTCTTTTCTTGGTTGTATAGTGTCGTCATTAAACTACATTTCAGTAATGCAATCGGGATTGGGGGGTGGGTCTATTGGACAATCCTCAAGTAGATCAGAGTCTAAAAATGTTGGAAGATCTTGGGGTGCTCGGGCTCAAAAAAGATTTGCGATAGATGATTCAAGTTTGTATTCAAGTTCACCCCCCCTACAAAAATCACTGTTAGCCCATCTTCTATTTCCAAACCCACTACAACAGGTAAAAAGAAAGCTTCGAGTGTATCTAATAACTGTTCTATCGATGACGAGTTTGAGGAGATTGAGGATGATATTATTGAGGATGTTGGTTCTGAGTAGAATAGGTTTGGTATAGGATATATGGGTTTGTGAGTTATCGTTAGCTATTTTATTTTTGGTCGGGAGAGTGTATTATTACCAATGGCATATATAACTATCGTGTATCCCTCTTTAGGAATTGGGCGACAGATTTCTATATTAAATTCAATTTTTAATGCAAAGATGCCAAGAACCAATTCCAGACAATCAATCGATGATTCCAGAACATCGAATCGGATCCGAACAAGAAGAAATAGAAACTCTCAAGCCTCTAGCTCCCAATTAGACCGAATTGAGATGCGATTAAATTCCCGAATTGAACAACAAATTACAAATCGCCGACAATCCACCCAAAACCAAAGCAATGTAGAGTCAAATTCATCGTCTAACAATTGGTGGAATATTTTACCTACAAAAACAATTCATCTCCGACCATATATTATTACTTGGTCAAAACAATGCACCTATTGTGGTGCAGCTTTATTAACTAGTGAGAATAATGGTTGGTGTTGTACTAATGGAAAATATCGATTACCCCCCCTACCAGTATATCCACCCGATACCGAAATTGAATTTGAGCAACATGTCTCTCAGTTGAGTAGGATCAGCCGAAAACTCAACAATATTTTTCATTTTCAATTTTAGGAGTTACAGGTGGATTTCGGCAGTTACCGACACCTTCAAATGTTGCTATAACAGGACGAGTATACCATCAGTTATTGGATGCCAATCAAGGGCAACATTCAATTCGATGGTTTCTTCACGATGAGGAATCAAGAGACTCATTAGCTCTTGAGCTTGGTGTACCCTCCTCCCTAGTTAACAGTTTTCGAAAACTACTAGAAGATAACACTTCTTTTGTTTACCATATTCGAGCAGCATTTACTACTGCAATAGATACCCCACTTGCACTAGAGTTATATACACCAACAAGTGGTGGAGAAATTGCTGTGATTATACATGCCAACAATATACAAAAAGTCTACCCTCGGAGTGTATTAGTTTACAACAATATTCTCGATCGTCCAAAAGCTATCAGTATATTAAGTCCCCTTTACGAGCCATTACAATATCCTGTTTTCTTTCCTCATGGTACACCTGGTTGGGACTGCAAATCCGATATCAGTCAAATTCGATGGTATAGAGCCAGGCTCACAACAGAGAACCGATTTCTGAGGTTTGGTAGATTGTGTGGAGAATATTTGGTGGATATGTACTCGAGAGTGGAAGATGAAGATTGGACTACATACGAAAAGGACGAGAGAGACAATACAACCAGCAATCTGAAATTGCAGAAGCAGAAGGTGATTTACCCATCGAGAAAGGCACGACACTACCGACCTCTTTCCTAGGTTCCCGAGCATGGGCATCGAATGAGGTTGCCGACTCTCTTACTATCTGTCGGTCAAGAGGCAAACCCTCATTTTTTATCACGATTAAAACAAATCCTAACTGGCCAGAAATTAAAGAACGATTGAATCCAGGACAGAATGCCTCAGATATACCAATTATTGTTTGTCGGGTATTTAAAGCAAAGCTAGAGAATGCCATTGCCAAAATTCGGAGCCATTTAGGAACAATAGTTTATATTGTTCGGGTTATAGAATTTCAAAAGAGGGGGTTACCACATGCACATATTGTTATTAAAGTAAGATAATTGAAAACACAATTGAGGTTGATGCTAAATATTATCAGGTGAATCCCGAGTTACCTTTCTCAGCTATTGATTCCATTGTCTCTGCCGAAGTACCTACAGAAGAGGAAGATCCTGTCCTGCGAGAATTGGTTCTACGATTCAATCAACACCCCCAAACACATTTAAATTCTCCCAATAGTCGGTGTAACAAAAATGGATCCTGTATTTGGGGATACCCACAAGCGATTCGGGAAACTAAAGTGCTTAATCAATATGGTCGAGTACAGTATAGAAGAAGAAAGGAAGAGGATCGATGGATAGCATCGTATATGCCATTTCTTACTAAGCTATTAGAATGTCATGTTAATGTCGATATATGTTTTACAGTTAATATTTTCATGTATCTGTATAAATATTTATTTAAGGGGCCCGATCGAACATTATTTTCTTTCAATGTTGAAGGACAGCAAGAGGTGGACGAGATCAATGACTATATCAATGCAAGGTATCTGTCTGCCTCGGAGGCAGCATGGAGGATACTACAATACCATATAACAGATCGATCGCCTGCAGTCAAATCGCTTACAGTTCATCTACCTGGAAGGAACATGCATCAAATGTACCGAAAGGGTGGTGGGGAATCTACAGCATCGACTTTGCTTAGATATTTTTCTAGGCCCCGAGATGCAGTATTCCAAGATTTGACCTATATTCAATACTACGAGAATTGGGTTCTGTACTCGAAGTCGTCAACCACTTTCAAAAATACCGATTTCCTTGAAGAGATATGCAATAGTTATCCACAGTTTATTGTAAGAGCTAGGAGAAGAAATGAGGCAATCGCCCGAATCGATACAGTCTCCCCCAGAACTGGAGAATTATTCTACCTGCGAGCTCTTCTGCTGCATCTCTCAGCCTATAGTTTCGAGGATCTAAAAACTGTCAACCGATTTACCTACTCAAAATTTCAAGAGGCAGCAGCAGCATTAGGTCTCTTCGAAAATCAGTCGGAGGGGAAAGAAATTATGCCAGAAGCTGTCCTAAGCTTTTGCAGTCCTAACCAGCTACGATTCCTGTTTGCACATCTCCTGATGAATATTCCAGTTACAGCCATTGAGTTGTTCGAGGAGTATCAGGAGGTTCTATCGGCAGATTATCTTGACCAATATGATTCTCCGATAATGGTTATTAATAAATGTTTAGATGAGATTGCAAAATATCTTGCAGCTCAAGGCAGTAGGTTGACTGATTTTGGGTTACCCCATCCTCAAAACCTCACGGATGACATATCTATGAAGGCTGTTGCATTTGATGATCGTAGGATCGAACTTACAGAAATGGCAATATCATCTCGGGAACAGTTATTACCCCAACAGCTAGATGCTTTTGATACTATCATGAATAATATCGATAGAATAGCTATCGGGGAGATTCCTGAACATACATGTTTCTTTCTGGATGGAAAAGCTGGTCGGGGCAAAACATATATTGTAAATAAGATCGTAAATTATCTAAGGGGGCAAGGAGACATTGTTGTTATTACTGGTTCAACAGCTTTGAGTGTTACACTGTATGAGAGAGATCGTACTGCACATTCTGCATTTGGTATTCCTGTCGTTGAAGTAAAGTTGTCCTATGAGAAGGTTTTAGTAAAGACAGTCACTGACATTACAATATTAGAACAATATGGAGCTACAATCGACTTTGAGTATCAGGTCAGATCGGGCGAAATTACTATCGCAGTCAAGCTTAATTATATGGGAGGAGATGCCTATGGCCAACAAAGCAGCAATTGAATGTGTAGATGAGTTCTTGCAACTCGTGCTTGCCAACGATAAACCATTTGGTGGCAAAGTATTTCTTGGCTTAGGTGACTTTCGACAGGTAGCACCAGTGGTTAAGTCTGCAGGACCAACAGCTACACTCGAAGCATCTATACGATCATCCTATCTTTGGGAACAATTCAAAATTTTACGATTGGATACACCTATAAGAAATGCCTCTGATTTAGAATATGCCGAGTGGGTAGATAAAATTGGAGATGGCTGTCAAGAATCAAATGAATCGTTTGTGAATCTGGATTTAATTGAGTCTTTAGACTCAATCGAGCAGGCAATTGACTTTCTATTTCCAACAGAAGTATTGCAAAATCCAGCGATTGTTTCCCATCGTGCTTTTCTTAGTCCTTTGAATATCAATGTTGATCAATTTAACCTTGCGATTCTTGAAAGATTCCCGACAATAGAGGGTATGTATATTTATTTTCCTTACTATTAAAAATTACAATATACTGATATAATTATTTATTACAGAAAGAACATACTACAGCCACGATTGTATCAAAGAAGATCCTAATTTCACATCCCCGACTACCAACATGCTACCATCGGGTGAGATTCTAGATTTTCTATCTATGTTGAAGGAGCCTGGTGTGCCTACACACAGATTGGTTTTGAAGGTCGGGTGTGTTTGTTTGATTATGCGAAATCTATCACTGGAGAATGGCTTGGTCAAGAATTGCCGGGTAGTTATTAAAGAGCTATATGAAAGATTTGTCAAAGTTGAATTGATATCTACTGCAGATAATATTCGACAAGATACAACTGTTTTCTGCCTCCCCGAATTGTATTTGAGTTTCAACCAAAATATTGCTCTTGGACTGTACAGAGAAGACAATTCCCTTTACGACTAGCATACTCAACAACCTTCAATAGTTGTCAAGGCTTAACACTCGATAGAGCTGTCATCGATCTCAGAACTCCTGTATTCTCACATGGTCAACTGTATACGAGTGTTTCCCGAGTCAGAAATAGAAACCATATTAGTTGTTTATTGGATAATGATATTTCAGTTATTGATATTGGGGATAAAAACAAAGTTAAAAATATTGTATATAGAAGTCTTTTGTTATAAAATTTTATTTCTTTATTTTTTTTTATTTTTAAAACAATTTTTTAAAACTATCGGTACTTAATACAAGAGTGGAGATTTTCAGTAACAACAATAATAACAAAACATAATATAGGAAATAACAATTTATTCCTCCTCAGAATCATCGGACTCAACCAAAATAGCCTCAACATTATCGGCAGTAATTTGTTCCTGTTGATATTTTTCCCACAATTTTACCAATCGGACAGGAGTGACAATACTCATACCAATTTGATGAGAATCAGACTCATCGGTAGGGCCCTTTATTGATAAAGTAGTACCATGAAAGTCAGTGGGCTTCCAAACTACCACTGAATTGGCTGACTGTTTGATTCTGATTCCATAATCGGCAATGAAGAAGTGACCCCCCTCCTCGGATCCATATGTCCTAGCTGTAGTCCATAACAATGCATACTTATGAGGGCACTTTTCATTATGATTACCCCTATAATTAATTAGTAACAATAAAATATAAGTACTCGGAGTGATTATTACCTTGAATAATTATATGCCATAAATCCAGAAGGGGGTGCCATCGGAACACAGTCAAACTCAATGTCATCGGCTCCGACCCTCACAGTATAATTCCCCAAGATTTGAGAAGTAGCCCTGTCTTTAGCAGCATAATTCATTCTCGGAATTAGGGTAGAATTGCAAAACCCAGTTATATCCTCAATAATCGGCTTCGGCAATCTACCTTTACTCATGTTCCAAAGAAGAGCAAAAATATAGCTGCCCAAGTGCTCAAAGTCCTCCAATCGGTTTTTCTTGGAGGTGATATTTCTAACCCAATCGAAACTGGCTTTGCTTCTGGAACCAGCTGAATATCCCATTTGACAAAGTTTGCCAGTATCCTCAAGCTAAGAAATAATTAGCAATCGCAATAGTAAAATTTGGAAAGAAATAATACTTACTCGGACTGATTTCCTGACCTGACATTCCTTGATAATAATCTCATTGACCCAATCTAGAGTTTCTTTCTTGCCCTCGGCCATCCAGCAACCAATCCAACAATTTCCTTGGTGTTGGAATCGACAAAAATGTAGTTTTGGTCTTCGGCAACATCTGGTTGTAGATATTCTGGTTCCAAAAGTAGCATCGGTGGTACTTTTAGCCTTTTGTCCTTCGGCTTACCAAGCTGGAGGTGATCATGCCAAATGTCATGGGTTTGCTCGGACTCATACACCCAATTACTGGGTGGAGGGTAAGGTGTTTGATATCGGGTGACTTCCACAATCGTAAACTTTTCCAAATATTTGTCTCTCCTTGCATCGTCCTCCTTGAGGTTACACTCCTGCACAAATAAAGCTTTGATTCTTTTAATTCTTTCCTTCTCCTCCTTCCTCTGCTTCATCGCTTCTCTTAGCTCTGCATGGCAATTCGGCTCCTTCATTTGTTTGGGGTGGTTGAGGAAAGCTGCAATATCATTGAAAATGCCATCGTTAACTCCATCGGCAATATTACAGAACTCTCTCTTAATAGAAGAAACAAGAGAATCAATATTATTATCTCTGATTTTCTGCAGAAGAGAGGGTTTGCTAGCTATATAGATAGCAATTTCATTGATGGCTTTTTTGTATGCTTTGGGAGGTGGTATCCTTTTGGATCGGATAGGAGGCATTTTTGTGGATCGGATAGGAGGAATTTTTGTGGATCGGGTTTGTAGAAGCTGTAGTGAGTCAGGTAGTAATCAGAATTTTAGGGGAATAGACAACAACAACAACAACAACAAGTGATTGTAAACTTAAGTATAGAAGGATATCAAGGGCAAAGCACCAAAATATCCGGTTTTCTATCTTATTTGAACTCTCTCTTATGTGTTGTGTGTTTGAACTCGCAAGCGAAGGGTGTTGTGAAAGGAAAAAGGGAAAGAGGGGAAACCCAACGACAGCGACGCGCCCGAATATTAGCAGCCTTACCCTACCTGAACCAGCACCTAGCACCCGCTCGCAGCACCCACTCGCAGCATCCACTCGCAGCACCCGCTCGCAGCACCCGCTCGCAGCACCCGCTCGCAGCACCCGCTCGCAGCACCCGCTCGCAGCACCGGTGTCGCCCAGCACCCGCTCGCAGCACCCGCTATCAGTACCCGCTCGCAGCACCCGTGTCACCCAACACCCGCTTGCAGCACCCGCTCTCAACACCCGCTCGCAGCACCCGTGTCATCCAGCACCCGCTCGCAGCACCGGTGTCACCCAGCACCCGCTTGCAGCACCCGCTCGCAGCACCCGTGTCACCCAGCACCCGCTCCAGCACCCGCGTCACCCCAGAACCCGCTTCCAGCACCTCGCGCCTACCACCTCCCATTGCCTGATTCATGTCTGCGCCTGATTCCTGTCTGCGCCTGCACCCCTACTTACGCCCGCGCCAGTGCTCGAAACGGTGCTCGAAACGGTGCTAGGTGCGGTGCTAGCTGCGGTGCTCGGTGCGGTGCTAGCTGCGGTGCTAGGTGCGGTGCTAGGTGCGGTGCTAGGTGCGGTGCTAGCTGCGGTGCTAGGTGCGGTGCTCGGTGCAGTGCTAGCTGCGGTGCTCGTCCAGGTGTCGATTTGGAGTCTAAATAGGTGTCGAATTAGGAGTCTATATAGACGTTAGCATATGTGTCAATATGGAGGCAGGTAGGAGGGGCGTCGGTCGAGGTAGAGGTAGAGGTAGAGGCAGATATGGAGGTGAAGGTAGAGGTAGAGGTAGAGGTAGAGGTGGAGGCAGAGGTGGAGGCGAGCTGATTTCATTGTCCTAACCGGCCGAAGGCCGGAAACCACTTGTATAAATATAAATTGGCTTGTAAACTATAAGATATTATATCCCATTTTTTGTGTGACGCTTTCTAATGGATTGGGGGCCGTTATAAAATTGCCTTTTGTTAGACAAGGGTACGGTTGGCAACACCGAGATACCAAAAACCTCCGGTGACGAGCACATACCCTTGAATCACCGAGCCCATACCGCGTAAAGTACTCGTCCACACTCGGCTCAGCCGAGTCGCAATGTAAACCTTGCAGTATGTAGTATAAAATGGGGGATGCCTTTCCCAACAGGTAATGAAAAATCCATTTTCTAGAAATATATTATATTGACGTATGGGAAAGAGACGGAAAGCGCCTCTTCTTTATAGCGGTATAACAAAAGCTGCATCTAGGGTGCCCATAGGTTTCTTGTGCACATCGATCATTTGCCTGAGTTATATTACATCACTCCCGATCTTTCGACCCGCGCGCCGCCTTATTCTCTGCGCTTGCCCAGCGTCTTGACTTACTTCTTCAGCGAAGCTTAAGCCCAGTTCCACGTCCACCGACGAACATATAACTAATTGCCCCCTGTGGCGTCTGTATTTGATCCAGAAAGCCACACCAAATATCACTACTGCTCCATTGAACCCCCGTTGTGCCAGGCACCGACCAATCGCACTTTCCTACACTGCGACTCCAAACTCCTCATCAAACGTCGCCACATCCGCACACAATAGCTATGGAAATAAATATCTCACTGGACAGAGTGCATTTCCCTCGATAGGACACGTGTTATCTGCTGGTAAGCTTGTCCCGGTTACAAGTACAGAGCGCCAGCCTCGGATATGACAGTTTAACCATATGCAGAGGCCGGCATCGGAGATCTTAACCTAGTATTTAAGGTAATCTGGCTGCCAGAGCTTCCGTCCTGCCGTATTTTCCCCTAATGATATTATTAGTTGTCCGATCCCGGGGTTAGTTACCACGCCGTTGCCAAGGCGCCCCCGCATCACCCCTCCCGCGATCGTCACTGCAGGGACCCGCCAGGGCAGGTAAAGGATCGGTTAAAGGAGCAGGGAAAGTTGCGGGATATGAAAAGCTTGAATCAATCGGCGGTGCGTTTATGAAGAGGTAAGCTATTTAGTTTTTTGGGTCATAGATTCGCCTAACATGACATAGAAAGGATTGCTCAAATTTAGCAAAAGGCATGGGATTAGATATACGGAAACTAGTACCCGGACTACTATTCACGATGATTGGGATTCAGCAACGAAATTCTTGCTACAGAATGGTTATTTTTGTGAAACTCTGACGTCGACAAATATTCAAACAGAGGTAACAACAAAAGCGATGGTGTCTGCGCACCCATTCAGACTCAATTTCTTGATTCTACACAGCTATTTAACTCTGTTTAACTCAACACACAAAATAAATCTGCACAATCACAACCTATTCACCTTTATGTGTCGGGAAGAGAATGGCAACTGGGTTCCGGCAGCAAATTGTTTGGTTGAAAGTGAGAATTCCGACATTTTAGCACGATGCATGCAACGGATTTATGAATGGTCTGATAGACGATAGAGAATGCAATACCCTTTGACAGACAACAGTGCAACCGAAAAAGCAGCTATACGGAAAGCATTTGGTGGAGAAGGCTTCCTCAAAACCAATCTTCTTTGTACAGTACACTCCGAACGCCCGTTGTCGCGCAACTTCAAAGCCGGAATTGATCAATTATCTCCGGTATGCAATGAGATGTACAACTGAAATTCAATGTCTATCGCTCTGTAACAATGCAATCAGATCGGCTTCCTCAGGGAGAAAGGGAGAATACATCAAGAAGGAATGACTCGATACACATACCGCTTGGGTAATGCATGCGAGACAGCACTGTGAGAAACTTCTCCAGGTAACGTCAACTAATGCATATGAAGCATGGCATGGGCGTTTGAAGAACAGGGCTGGTCTAAAGAAGAGCGAAGTTAGTACTCATGGAATTTACGGCTGCGTACAGACTGTACATGATTGCGCGCACGACGTTGAAAACAATATTGAATCAGCGCGCCTGGAGGCAAATACACGGAAGGTGACTCTTGCGTAAACCTACCCGCTACTTGCAGAATTCTCTTATTCCATAGAGAGGGTTGTTGCAATAGAGGAAAGCAAGGTTGCCACCCACTTCGAACAAGAAATGGGTGTTTCAGTGCGTGAAATGGATACAAATACAGGTTTGTTCACATGCAATTGTCTCTTTCCAAGACGCTACAAACTCCCTTGTCAACATATCTTTCATATAGATCGGGCCTCAATCTTTTCAGAAAGTACGGGTGAAGTCGGAGAGGAACGAATTTTAAGTCCCAGAGCCTGGCAGCATTATTTGAATAGGTTCCGGACAGGAGGTACCGAAAACTGTGAGGGACTGAATTCGGGCGACATGGATGGATGTGCTTTAACAAAAGCACCTTACCCAGGTACAACAGCTAGAATCTTGAAGCTTGGAGAAGTAAATGAGAGAATACGATCCACTTTCTATAAGTTAGAGGAAGAAGATTCAAAATTGTCTATTCAACTACTTAATGATATGGAACGCCAACTCTCAGCTTCACTCACCAGCAGGAACGGTCCATCCCATCAAGTCCGCACTGGAAAATAAGCCAAAAAGGTTAGCTGAAGCTCTTATTCCTATACCCGCACGAAGAACCAGATTAACGGGGTAGACAGAAGTATTTCCCATCAAACCCGTATCCAATATTGTGTCCCTGGACCAGCTCAGGACGCTTTCCATCTTTCTCGCGTCGAAAAACGCGGCCCAAGGGTAGGCGGGTTGCGCGTGCAGGTTGCGCTGGGAGCTAGGTTGCGCTGGGGGGCAGGTTGGGCAGCCGGGCAGGTTAGGCGGCCAGGCAGGTTGAGTGGGCGCTCAGGCAGGTTGGGTGGGCGGGTCAGGCACGTCTGGTAGACCGTCAGTTTAGTAGTGAAGTATTTTGTATTGATGGCTGGCTGGGTTCTGTAGAGTACGTACCTATATTTTTATTAGAGTAATTGTTTGAACTTCAGAAGATGAACATACCTAGATCGTTTAATCAAGGGTCGTGTTGTTTTGATCCTGCTGTGGGGGCATTAACAGAGAGAGGTTGTTGTGGGGGACGCGAGAGGTAGCTGGGGTTGGATCGCAATAGCGCAATGCGAGACCAGGCTGCTGTAGCCCTCTCCATGCGCCCACTTTTTTTTTTTTTTTTTTTAAATCATAGTTTCATTTATTTCTGGGTACAAGAATATCGCATGGAGCCTAAGCTATGGCGTGAACAACACCCCTCCCCTACCAAACCGCCGAAGAAAAACAAGACAAAGGGAAAGCGGAACAAAACATATATGAAAGTGTGTACATGAAGCAGACGCTATGGAGAGACCCTGACATTCCTCCTACCGGCCAGCAAACAAAGAAATTCGGACGTCCCCCTCAGGGGCAGTGTACTTTCGTACCAGCTATGCGTAATATGACAGGACATAGGAGAAGAGAGAATAAGGGGAGCGAAGAGAGGACACTTTCGGTGTTGAAGTTGTTGTGCGTGCAATTGGCTTTTTTTTTTGGGCCTGTTATGGGCGGAGGTGGCCTAGGCCGAGCTTGATGAGAGGGAGTTGAGTTCGGAGTCTGAGGATAGGTCATAAGGTGGCGATTTTGGAGGGCCCATTTGTGGGGGGAACCCGGTTTTGGTTGCCCTTATGTAGGAGGAGAGAGCTGCAAGTGAGGCGGGGGGTTACCAAAGGTCGTCGAGGGTTTTAGAAAAGGGTATGTGGGTTGCCCTCTGGGGACTGCGCGCGGGGCAGCGTAGTATGGCGTGTTCGAGGTCTTCGTCTTCGAGAAGACATCTGGGGCATGTTGGGGGGAGGTCCTGGGACATCCATCTTGGGTGGGCCGCTAGGTAGCTTTTATGAGCACGCATTTGGCATATGCGTCCTGCAATGAAGCGGTCGAGCTTGAGGTGGGGGTGTGGACGAGTGTTGATTGGGAATTTGTAGTAGTCTGGTAGGGGGTTATTCTTCCAGAATTGCATGTTGTCTCTTTTGATAGAGAGTGCCAGGCCTGGGTGGATGGTGTTGGGGTTCTGAGCGAAAGTTGGTGAGTTGGTGAGCAGTGCGTGGCAGAGGTCGTCTATGGGGAGGTGGGCTACCCCTTCCCTGGTCGAGTTCCAATTGACAGGGGGGTTTGGGCGGCCTCTTAGTAGGTGTCGGTGAGATGTCTCTCTGTAGGTGGAGAGTGTGTGGAAGGAGTCTGGGGTGCGTGCGGTGACTGGGTTGTATGCGGGGGATGCGGCTTGGATTCTCGCGGCGTATCTGATTCGTAGGGAGGGGATGTATAGGGCGAGTGGTGGAAAGGATGTTTCGGCTTGTAGTATTGAGAGAGGGGTTGATCTGAAGCAGTTGGTGACCCATCTGAGGACTGAGTGCCAGGTGGTCTCGAGTCTCTTGAGTGCTCGCGCTGTTGGGACGAGGACGGAGGCTCCGTATGGGAGCATGGGGAGGATTGCCATGACTGCTAGTTGTCGGCAATTGAGGGGGTGAGGCCTTTGCCTGCTGAGGCGAATCCTCTTATAATGACGAAGGAGG